CCCCGCGGCGGATCAAGGCCATTTGCGAGTCGTCCCTCTGCGAGTCGGAGAACGCGCTGGTCTAGATTTGGCCCCCCCGTCGGCCCCCTCCAGCCGCGCACCAGAGGTCCCCCTGGCCTGGGGCCACTCCTCCGTGCAGCCCCGCCTCGAACGGCAAGCGGGCCAGGGTTGCCTCCCCCCTCCTCCCTGAGACCCCTCGCCGCCTCGGTGGGCCCCGCCTCGAACAACAGGCGGGCCAGGGGGCTGCCCCCCCCCCCCTTCCCAGAGGCCCCTCGCCGCCACGGCTGGCTTCGCCTCGAACAGCAGGGCATGGGGCCCGCGGCCCCAGGCCCCTCGACGCCACGTATTGCCTGCCTCCTCGCGGCGCGCGGCGTGGACCCCCCCCCCCGCCCCAGAGGCTTCGACCCGCTCCCCAGGGCCGGCCATTCATCCCGAGTCGTTCCGTGGACGGCCCCGGGGGCCCGATGAGCCGAGCGCCCCCCCCCGGAGGGCCCAGAGGACGACGAGGACGACGAAGACGAGGAGGAGGAGGAGGAGGAAAAGGAGGAGGAGGAGGAGGAGGAGGAGGAGGAGGAAGAGGAGGAGGAGGAGGAGGAGGAGGAGGAGGCAGGAGGAGGAGGAGGAGGAGGAGGAGGAGGAGGAGGAGGGGAGTCAAGCTAGCCAGCTCGAGCGAGTCAAGCATGGCATGCACCCCCCTGGAGGGCCCGGAGAGCGCAGCGCGCGCTCCGCCGTGGAGCTCTCCGGCCACGCGAGAGGGAGCCTCGGGGCGCCGCGCTCTCGAGCGGGCTCTGGCCGGGCGGCGGCCTCCGCGCCGCCTCGGCCGGCCCTCCTCCGAGCTCGGCGATCGCGCGCGCGCGCCCTGCCGCTCCGCGCGCGGGGGCGCGGCAGGACCGACGGCCAAATGCCCTGCCCGCGAGGCGCCTCCCCGGCGTCTCTGCGGCGCGACCGAGAGCAGACGAGGAAATGTGCCAATGTGCTGCTGCTGCGCCCTTCCGGCGAAGGCCAAGTCCATGCATACGGAGTGCTCGGCCTCCGCCTGGACCTGCTCCGTCTGGACGCAGCCTCTCTCCGGATGGGACGCGAAGTCCATACGGAGTGGTCGGCCCCCGTCTGGCCTTCCTGCGTCTGGATTCAGCCTCTGCGGAGAGGGTGCCGAGCCCACACGGAGAGTGCCCAGTCCCCGTCTGGGCTTACGTATTCCGCCTGGGCGTGGCCCCTCCTGCGCCCTTCGGCGACGGCGACGGCGACGGAGACGACGACGGCGGCGACGACGACGCTGGCGACGACGCAGCCAGAATGGCCGACGGCCGTGGCGGCGGCGGCGGCGGCGGAGGCGACTGCCGACAGCGGCGCCCGCCGGCGGCGATGGCGGCGACGGACGGATCCGGGTGTCGCATTCGATTCGCGTTGCGCCCCACTGCGAACCCTGCCCCTGCGGGTCCAACCGACGCTGAGGTTCACCGAGCGCGGTCCACTATTCACAAACTGCCTACTCGCCAACGCCCGAGTGTCCGGTTCGATATAGGGTCTCGCAGATCCCCCCAGCGGAGCCAGGCCATTTTGTGAGGAGTCACCCTGCGAGCAGTGGAACGCGCTCGTCTAGAGGTGTCTCGGGCACCCCCTCTGGGGTTCGCTTCGCACCAACCCCGTCTGGTCACAGGAAGAGGAGGTGAGCGAATGGGCCACGCGCCGAGGCTTCAAGAACGTCTCCCACATAGTCCGCGCTGGGGCTCGCCGATGGTTTCTTCGCGGCGACCTGGCCGCCATCGCCAAACACCCTTCGGATTCCGACCCCCAGCCGGGGTTTCAGACCTCTGACCTGCAGGGGTCGAGCTCACTTTTGTGATTGTTCTCCCTCACGCCAGACGCCGCCCGGCTTCGGGCCCCGTGGGGCCCTCACTTCGGGGGCCTTTTTTGGGGGAAACCAACAGGTACCGACACCGCTACTCCCTGCGGTGCGTTCTGGCCAGGATTTCGAGGCGAATCCGGCGGTGGCGACGAGGGCCTGCCAGGAGGCCCAAAAAATTAGAAAACGGGCGAGGGGGTAGAGGTATGGGTACCTTTTGCCCCCTCCGACGAAGAGGGGGGCGGAGGGACCAGGGGGGAGTGGATACCATGGCCAGGGCCATCACACCTCCCCGGCTCACATGGCCCCATCTTCTCTTCTCCAAGCGTTCCCTGGCCCCGCCTCGTCCGCGCACGTGCCTCGGGCGACGGTGCGCCAGCTCCCCTCTTCGTGGCCCCCTCCTCGGCGCACCTGGTCACGGATAGATCCGGCTCGAGGCATGCCACAGGGGGATGGGGCTCAACGCTATACCTGAAGCTGACCCTTAATCTAAGTCAGAGCTCTGGTCGTGGTTGTTCACGGTGTTGTTTTTTTCGCCACGTGGGGTCTCAGAAGAAGTCGTCGTCGTCGTCGTCGTCGTCGTCGTCGTCGTCGTCGTCGTCGTCGTCGTCGTCGTCGTCGTCGTCGTGGCCGCCGCCCCCGCTGCCATTGTCGTCGTCGTCGTTTTGTCGTCGTCGCCGCCGCCGCCGTTGTCGTCGTTGTCGTCGTCGTCCTCGTCGTCGTCGTCATCGTCGTCGTCGTCGTCGCCGTCATCGCCCTCGTCCTCGTCGTCCTCGTCGTCCTCGTCGTCCTCGTCGTCCTCGTCGTCGTCCCCGTCGTCGTCGCCGTCGCCGTCGCCGTCGCCGTCATCGTCATAGTCGTCATAGTCGTCGTCCTCGTCGTCCTCGTCGTCCTAGTCGTCATCGTCGTCATCGTCGTTGTCGTGGTCGTTGCCGTCCTCGTCGTCATCGTCGTCCTCGTCGTCGTCATCGTCTCTGGGGGCGGAGGTCGCTGAGCCAGAGGGGCCCTGGGTGGGATCCTCGGGCAACCTTCGCCACTCTCGGCCGCCTGGGGCCCGTCCGTGGCCCCCGGGGGACCCCGAGGAGCGGCGCGGGGACGACACGGCGGCCCCGGGAAGCCCTGCTCGATCCAGGGCCCGCTTCCTTCGGGACTCCGCCGGCTCCTGGCAGGGGCGGCGTGCGCCGGAGCGCCCGCCGCCCCACCCCCCTCGCACCCCCCCAGGGTTCGAAACCTGCTCCTGCTCCTGCTCCTCCTCCTCCTCCTCCTCCCCTCCTCCTCCTCCTCCTCCTCCTCCTCCTCCTCCTCTCCTCCTCCCCTCCTCCTCCTCCTCCTCCTCCTCCTCCTCCCCCTCCTCCTCTCCTCCTCCTCCTCCTCCTCTCCTTCCTCATCCTCATCCTCCTCCCACCTCCTCCACCTCCTGCCTCCTCCTCCTCCTCCTCCTTCTCCTACTCCTTCCCCCTCCCCCTCCTCCCCCTCCTCCTCCCTCCCTCTCACCACCTCTCCACATCCTGCTCCTGCTCCTCCTCCTCCTCTCCTTCCTCCTCCTCCTCCTCCTCCTCCTCCTCCTCCCAGGGCTGGTTTCGCTGACGGTCCCCAGGTCCGAAACCTGCACCCGGTCAGTGGCAGGCCTAGGATCGGGATCAAGTCTCTCCAGAGCTTCCCTAAACGCTCTGGAGCGGCCGCGGCGCCCGACGCGTTCTCCAGGACCGGACCTCGGAGATGATCTTCGACAATGTTTGGGTCTTGTTTTGCCATTTTGATTTAAAATGTTTCGTCGAAAATCCGCCTGCAGGGGGACATGCCCGACCTGAGGCCAGCGCCCAGACATCCAACGCCTTCACACCAAAAAGTAGGGCGACGGTTTTTGCTGGTCGTCGCCCCGCTCAGGCACTGTCAGAACTGGCCCAGGATTTTGCTGGTCGTCGCTCGTCGCAGGCTCGTGCCGTGTCGGCGCGGCGGCGACGCCGGCGCACGCGAGGTCATACTGCCTTGACGCTGAGACAGTCGGTTTAGTCGGCTTGGACAGTTGCCGACGTGAGGGGAACCCCGAATTTCATGATGCTCCAACCTACTTTAGCCTGGATCACCAGAACACAAATTCGAGCACCAGGAAAGTACCGAAACTGGAGGCTTTTCACGCACCGGGCCCTGGGAGGCGAGACTCGCTCGACACTGCTTCGATACCTTTCTGGGTGCTCGAAATTGTTTCTGGGATCTGGTCCTTAAGTACGATGGGGGCAACAGAACCCGAATTGAAAATCAAAGGAGTCGTCGCAACAGTCATTGGGCCGATTCAGTCCAGGAGGTCCGCAAGACGGCCCCGGACGCCCCCGAGCCAACTCGAGAGGGCCCGAAGACGCGGGCGTTCCATGTGGAGCGCCGCCAGTTGCCCGGAATCGCCCCACATCGCTATCCGGAATCCGCGGCCGCGCAATGTTGAACGACAGCCGAGCTGCTCGCGTCAACCGAAAGCCAAGCTTTTTGGCCTTCAGAGAGGGGAGGAAACAACTCCTTCCGACCTCCTCCTCCTCCTCCTCCTCTTCCTCCTCCTCCTCCTCTTCCTCCTCCTCCTCTTCCTCCTCCTCCTCCTCCTCCTCCTCGGTCCACGAGTGCGCAGGCCGCCACGACACAAGCCCACCGCACAGCCAAGCCGCTGAGAAGAGAACAGGGTCGGGTCCGGGCGGGGCTCGCTGTGCTTCGGGTCCTTCCGCGGTCGGGCTTTTTGGCGCTCCTCGCGCACCCTGGGCCCCTCTCGAGGCCACGACGGGGCGTGTCTCCTGAGGTGGCAAGAGGTGGGGATCGGGTCCGGACGTGGCTCGTTGTGCCTCGGGCCCTTCGACGGCTGGTCCTCTTCCTCTCGCACCCAGGCCTTTTTTAGGGGGGGGTCAGGACGGGGCTTCTCTTAAATCGGGCGTGTCCTTCTACAGGAGGAACGTTCACATATAGTTTTTAAACAAGTCGGGGGGCGATGTTTCGATTATTTTGTTGACATGTTTTGAGCATTGTTTGCTTATTCTGTACTTGATCGCGTGACTGTCCGCCTGTCGGGGGACACGCCCGACCCAAGGCTTCTCTCCCAAGGTGCGGCGCTCCCTGTGGCAGCAGCTCGGCTGCAGCCCCCTCCCCCCATGGCGCCCCCCCGGCCCGCGCGCAGGAGGCGCTGCAGGGAGGCTTCGGCGCGCTGGCGGGGCCCGCCGAGGCGCTCGCAGAGGCTCGGGGAGGGAGGGAGGAGGAGGAGGAGGAGGAGGAGGAGGAGGAGGAGGAGGAGGAGGAGGAGGAGGAGGAGGAGTCCGTTGCCATTTTGGCTCAAGGTTCGGGACAGGCCCGAGGTTGAGCGAGGCAGCTCGTTCTGAGCTATCCAGCCGTCAAGGGCTGGCGGACACACGCCCATTCCTCCCTCTTGCAGATGCCCCCGCATGGCGAGACCCGTGGATCCCGCTCCCCACGATCTCAAGGCCACGGCAAGGGCAGCCCCGACGGTCTCACGATAATCTCTGCCATGGCCGCCTCCGAGGTCGAAGAGCTCGAGAGCCAGCTTGAGGCCGTCCCCACGTTCCCGTCGCAGCAGTCTTGTGAAGGCGACCATCCTACTCCTGTGTTTCTCCCTGATGGCGATCTTCGTACCTACGTCGATGCCCAGAAGCAGGAGATCCTCTCGGCCATGCAGACCCTGCAGTCCACCATGCTCAAGCTCAACTGCTCCGTCACGGCACACGTCGGTGGGTTCAGTCAACAGGTTGAAGCTAGGCTCGCCAAGATGGAGGCCAGCCAGAACACATTCAATTCTAGAATGGACCTCATGGCGAGGGAGATTGCCGAGCTCAAGAAGTCCCTGTGTGCCGTTCAGAATGACGAGCCGCCCGCCGCCCCGCCCAGCGGAGGTGGCTTCGAGCGGCGTACCAACCCGTGCATCCTCGTTGTCCGTGCTGCTGAGATGGTCTCTCGCGAGGCCATCTCCCAGGCAGTTGCTCAGTGGCTCGCGGACTCCAACTTCGAAGAGGGCGGCTGGCGCGTCGAGGGCGACCCTGCCGCGAAGCGCTTCACCATCCGCATCCGCGGCGCCCCCGGCTGGGCATCACGCATGGCGCCCCAGGCGCTCTCCAACATGCGCCTCGACGACGGCACCTACCGCCGCATGCAGGCGCGAGGACCGACTGGACAGCCAGTCGACTTGTACATTTCCGAGGGCAAGAACTTGTGCCAAGTCCGCCGCGAGCTCGCGACCAAGCAGGCCCGCAAAGTCCTCTCCTCCTTCGACCCCAACCGCAAGCTCCATGCCGACAAGTCCACGGGCATCGTCAGCTGCGTGTGGAAGCCCCTCCTCCGCATCACCCCCAAGCCGAACGAGATGCCGACCATCGAGTGGGAGGAGGACAACCTCCGCGCCAAGGGCCTCGATCGGGCAACTGTCGAACCTAGGATTGTCGATGCTATTTCGGCCAGCTCGAGCACCGCTTCCGCCGCGCCCGCCCAGTGGCGTCTTTAACGAGTGGTTCATGAAGACGGGAGGCCCATCCTCCCCTGAGCTCGGGCTGGCCACTTGGAATGCGAGAGCTCTATTTCATCACTGCCCAAGAGTGCGGACTGCGAAACAGAACTTGTTCATGGGAATGTTCTGCGGGTTCAGGATCATTGGTCTCCAGGAGGCTCACGGGAGCAGGTTTGACCTCGACGATTTTCTACATATGTCAACTACGAAGTATTCGGCGGTCTCTTCTTTCCTCCCCGTCTCGAACAAGGGCGGCGTCGTCACCCTGTTCCCTCCCCCTTCTTCCTTCCCAGGCTACGGGCCCTCGGTCTTTGCCAGGGAACTGGTTCGTGGCCGTGCACTCCATGCTAAATTATCCTTAGGCCCTGGGGTGCAGTCTGGGTCCGACTCTTATCACTGCATCTCGCATTTCAACATACATAACCACGACATCAACATACATGACACGCATATGATCATACGCGCTATCGAGTCGGAGCTCGCTTTCGCCCTGTCGGACCCAGAGCACTACCTCGTCGTCGTTGTCGGCGACTTTAACCTCTCTCGGGTACCTCCACGGCCCGAAGTGCCTTCGGAGGGCGGTGCTGCCGAGGATCCTGCTGTGCCAGCGTGGCGGCGACAGCTTCGGTCCCCGTGGCAGCTTCTCTTTGCACGATTTGTCGAGTTGGATCCAGAAGGGCACACCCGCTACAACGGCTCTCGCCGCCACGCATCCGCCATCGACAGGATCTTCATCTCGTGGCCAGGCTGGATCGTCTCAGCTATGCATTTGGTTGCTGAAGTTAGGGGTCTTCCTGGGACCCTTGAACAGCGCAAAATCAGTGATCACGCCCCCGTCGCGGCTATCCTCCGCGCTCGCCCTCCGCCTGACCCCGACGACCAGCCCATCCCGAGGCGCGTCTTCGAGCACCCTGATTTCCAGAGATACGTTGACGAGTTCTGGCCCTCCCTGGACCTCTCAGAGCTCAGCCCGCTGATCCTTGAGCTTTACAAGAAGGTGCTTCGAGAAGGCGCCCGTTACGCCAGGAACGCTTTGCTCTCCAATGACCCCCACAACATAGCCTCCAAGTTGATCCTCTTGAGGTCCATTCTCGGGCAGTATGGCGTCAAGATCATAAATTAGCTTCGCGTCTTCTTCGTTACCCATTAGCTCGTGATCTTTTCGAGGTTCGTGAAGATGATAGGGTGGATCTGTCTGATCCTGCACGTTTTTCTCTCTTGCTGGACGAGCTCCAGTATGCAGACGCGGAGAGCCAGCAGAGCTCCGTCCGCGCGGAGATGAGCGCCGCTGCCTCCCTCCCCTCGCATGGCCAGGTCAAGGCCAAACTGAGGAAGAGGCTCCAGCGTCTCTCACGGCGAGCAAAATTGTGGGCGCCAATGGACCGCCGCACGACGCTCGCAGGGATCCGCGGTGAAACTGATGTGGTTGTTTCCTTTCAGTCTGATATGCAGCATGCGGTCTCCTCTCACTGGCGAGACGTTTTCCTGCCCAAAGACATTGACATGCACGCCGCGTCGGTGTGCCTCCAGAGGTTCTGCCCCCACTTGGACATCTCTGATGTTGCCCCGCCCTCGATTGAGGACTTCCAGACCCACCTCTCCCGCCTGCCCCACTCGGCTCCAGGTCCCGACGGCCTCCCGTACAAGGCGTTCCAGAGGTCCCCGTTCTCGGCCCAAATCCTGAATGACATGATGTGGTGGATCCTGAATGGCAACCCTGTCCCCAATGGGTACAACGACCTTTTAGGAGCGTTCATCCCGAAGGCCTCCGAGGACGGTGATACCCCCCAGGGCTGCATTAGAGCTCCGAACAATCTCCGCCCACTCGGGCTCAAGAACTGCGACAACAAAATTGTGACTGCCGTCGTGACTAGAAAGCTCTCGAGGATCCCCCCCAAGCCACCAACCAGATCCAGCGAGGCTTCATCCCCACCCGCAACTTCGGCGATAACATCGTCGAGATGGATGCGATGGCCAGGATCTATTCGATGCAGGATGCAGGATGAGGCCCCCGCTCCGACGCCATCTCTGCTCAGCTTTGACTTCCAGCAGGCCTTCCCGAGCGTGGCCCACGATTGGCTATGCTCTGTTCTTGCGCGATGTGGTCTCCCTGAGGCTCTCTGCCGGTTCTTCTCGCAGCTCCTCTTTGGCGTCCGCTGCTTCACAGCATGTGGCTTTGGCCCACACCCTCATGTACCTGGATCAGAGCGGCATCATCCAAGGCTGCCCCGCCTCTGGCTTCCTCTTCGCGGTCGGCGCGGACCCGTTCATGCAGGACTTCGACCGCAGCGTCAACCACCGTCTCCTCGGGATCGCGCGCGCCTGCGCGGACGACGTGGGCGCCGCCATCAAGACCCTCCGCGTGCTCCGTATCTCCCACAGGATCTTCGAGGCCGCTGAGAGAATTTCCGCCTTGACTCTCAAGGCCGCAAAGTGCAAAATCGTACCTCTCGGTGAACCCTTTGATGAGGATGCTGTCTTGCGTTATCGCACCTGGCTGTATTCTGTTATTCCAGATTGGAGACAATTCGAGGCGGTGCCTTCCCTTGTTTTATCTTGGCATGCATATCGGGCCGGCGGCTCGTCTTGATAGCTGGGCAGCACCGATGGCTAGTACAGATTGCGCACTGCACAAGTTGCCGCTGTGGGCGGCCCCACGCGAGTGACTGCCAGCAACTACAACATCCGATGCGTGACGACCCTGAGTTACGTCGCGCAGTTCATGCCCCTCCCCGACGGCTTCAGTAGGACTGAGGCCGACCTTCTCGCCCGTCTGTGGCACGCTGCCCACTGTGCGCTCCGCATGTCTGGCTGGCTCAATCTTGAACAATGGGGTGGCCCGAAGTTTGATTGTTTGCTCATCTCCACCTCCGCGGCTCTCATCCGAGCCAGTCTCGAAACGTTCCAGAGCTGGAGGGCTGTCCTTCCCCTCCTTCGTGCCTCCGCCGAGTCCCACCTGCCCGTGTGTCTCCTCGCCCGCGGTTCCCTGTCCCCCCCCTTCTGGCAACAGGCTTCTTTCGCAGAATTTCTTGAGAATGCCCAGGCTGGTTTTCCCAGACCCGTCGGACATGGCCTCGTCACGTCCTCCCCCGCCTCGCTCGCTCCGATGACCTCCGCTGCTGCCGCTGCGTTCACGTCTCTCCCTGCTCCCCCCTCCCCCGCCCCCGCGTGGCCGCAGGCGGCCCAAGCTCAAGACGCAGCGCCACTTCCGCCTGGCCATGCTCGAAACTATGTTTCCCGACCCTCTGGTCGGTGTGCTTGCTGCCCGTGCGCCCTCCTGGGCCCCCGTTTCCGAGAATGAAGTTCGAGCGTGGCCATGGGGAGAGATCCGACGGGTCCTCGTCCGAATGCACCCTGCCCAAAGTAATGCGGTTCTCAAGCTACTGGCCCACGGGTGGACTACATACCACCGGTTTCAGTGCGACAGCCTTCGTCTCTTAGGCTGTATTCCCTCGGCTGTCGATCCCAGCCGTGACGCTTTCCCTCGCTACTGGTCCTGCCCGCGCTTTCTCGCCATCCTCTGCTCTATCATCCGTGCCCCTTCGTTGCCTGGCTGCCCTGTCGCTCGCCTCGGCCTGGCCCCCCCCGTCCTCCGAGTCTCTCCTTGCCCCCGCTGCCGCCACCCTTCTCTACCATGACATTCATGCCCGCCTATCTTCCCAGCAGGTAGCCGTTCGAGAATCGGACGCCAAGGCTATCGCCTCGGCCGTCCGCTTTCAACTCTTCAGGTAGGTGGATAGGCGCGG